TCCCTGGCAGTGTTCAAGGCCAGGCTGGATGGAGCTCTGAGCAGCCTGGCCTGTGGCAGAGGGGTTGAAACCAAGTGATCTTTAAGGATCCCTTCCAACCCAAGCCAGTCTCTGATATACACACGTGTTAAAGTGAGCCGTGCCCTGTCTTGAGCCGAGTCCTGCTGGGAGCACATGATTTTCTTCAGCACGTCAGTTTTAACTTTGGCTGAGGAAGACTACAGAAACTTTTGGCATGGTTATAAAAATTTCCTCTTGGTTAGACGGCGTGAGAGTTTTGTGGCTTTACATTAACTGACTGCCTGTCAGCTACTAACTGATTGCTGGCAGAGTCTGCCTTGGGAAAGCTGCTTTCTGCTTGCTCCTTCCTTCTGTTCCTGCCAAGGCACCTCCAGCTGGGTGCTGTTGGGAGGGTATGCTGGACCTTTGGACCATCAGAGCTTTGTTCGCAGTTTTTTGAAGTATACCATTACTTAAGGGAATCACAGAACCAAGAGCACTGTTAAAAACCACGTGGATGCTTAAGACTGTAAACCACAGCTGAATGAATATCCTTGGTTTATTTGCAGTCGTTGTCATCTCAGTACATAAAAATTACTTTGCTGTTTCTTCTGAACTTCCACCTCCATGTTGTCAGGACTTACGGCACTGTAGTTTTCTTGGAAGAAATTATGCATTTTTCCTGTAATCTACGTGGTGTAATAGTGATACTCTATGGTAGCTGACTCTAATCATATCACCATAAAAATGCATAATTTATTCTAAATGTGACTTTTCTACTTCACCTCCTCAAGTACAGATTGTTGTATACATTTAGGATATATAATACGTGTGAAGTTTAGGTCTGTTTAATAAAGGTTAATATTTTAAATGAAGAAGACTAGTTATAAATTATAATTTATAAATTTTAATAAATTTCTGTTATTCAGTGGCTTTTAACAGACAGGCCTCTGGTTTATTTTGTTTGGTTCTTAACTTCATTCAGAATTCACCTGTGATGTAATTCCATTGCAAGATTGATTCCTTTCTGCTTCCTTGTAGTGTAATCCTGGGGTTTTTAAGGATTACAGTCCTGGCTTTATTATAATCTCTGTGCTGCCAGGCCCTTCTTAAGGGATGATAGAGCAAAACTTTGTGATTCAATACTTCCTGTAAGGGCATTCCCTGAAAGTACCAACTTCAGCATGTAGCCTTCGTCATTTCTGAAAATAAATGAATCATTCTATAATTATAATTCTGTTACTATATCAGCGCCAGAGCTACAGTGATACATTTGCCTATTTAAATGTAAGGAAGAATGCAGAAAGGAGAACACTTGGGGTATAGGTTAGGGTCATGGATCAGGAAAAAAAAAGATATTCAGGATGGATGATAAACTGGAGTGCTGTGGGTTTTTGGAGTCATGTTTTAGTTTCATGTTCCTTGCCTTTATGCTGTGGCAGACAGAAACTCTCTTAAGGTCAGTAGGAGGAGTCTAATGAAGAGGATATTATGAGTAAGAAGCTTCCTGGACTCGGGTTTCAGGCGTCTGACAGTTAGAGCTGAGCTTTGGAGACCTTCTGGAGCCAGAGGTGGAAGAGGGCTGAAGCTGGTTCA